GCTTTTGCTTACTGAAAGTTCATCAGTACCTAGCACATAAGAGCCACTCAATGTATACTCGTTAAGTAAGTGAATGAATTCTAGGAGATCACTGGGGGCAGACTGTGTCTTATTGATAGGTCTACTTCTAGTACTTGCAGGGCCTAACCTGAGATTGCTCATGGAGTCTCAGTATTTAGGCGGTATAAACAAGCTATACACTGTTAAATAAAATACTTTCTATTTTCCTACCTAGATATGTTTGCTTTCATAATTGCAAAACAAACATATTTGCAAATTGATGGCTTTTATATGATTGAAAATTGGTAAAATATACAACTAAACTTAATTATCATTGCACTTGAAGAAAGCTGATGGGATGGCAATGTTTGGATGAGCATTAAAGACATAAATTCATGAATTTTGTACTTTATACATTTTTAAAATCAGACTTTATTTTTTACAATTATTTTTTCTTTCTTTAATTTCATTAGAATCATTAATTACGCTCTCCTGAGCTTTTCATAAATGTGTTTTATTGACAATATAAAATATTAAAAAGTATATCGAATTATACTTCACTCTACAAGAAGTAAATATCTTCATCAAAACTCTAAGTGTTAAAAATTGAAAAATTAAATTTTTCATAAGCACTTTCAAAGTTAGTTTTCTTTGAAAATATTCAAATTATTACTAATAAAAAGCAAGATACAAATTATAATTAAAGAGCTTTAACATTTAATCTCAAAATTCTTCAAATAAAAATGAAATGTCTAAATTCATTTTTTGAAAATGTAATAAAATCTGTTTTGTTTTGTTTTTTTGATATGGGGTCTCACTGTGTTGCCCAGGCTGGCCTCAAATCCTGGGCTCAAGGGATCATCCTGCCTCAGCCATCTGAGTAGCTGGAACTACAAGCATGTGTCACTGCACCCAGCTCAAAAAATTAATTAAATCTTATTAAAAATATTTTATAAAAACAAAACTACTTTGCAGTCTTAGTGTTCACTGTCCATTTAGTTGCCAAAGTAAAGAATTAGTATCACTCTTCGTTTAGGTTATGATACCCATGTGCCAACTAGGGCACGTTTTGTGAGTCCCTTCAGAACCACAGGTTGGAAATGAAGTTTGATTTTAAAAATGTATAAAGTAGGTATGTAATTGACGAATTTATGTCTTTAATTCTCATCCAAACATTGCCATCCCATCAACTCCCTTCAAGTGCAATGATAATTAAGTTCAGTTGCCTATTTTACCAATTTTCAATCAAATAGAAGCCAAAAAAGAAAAAAAAGCAAGAAAGTGGATATTTGATATAAATGGGAAATGACATTTGTTTGGGGAAAGAATCATTCACATTCTGGCTAGGAGGAAGTGTGTAATAAGTTAAATAATCATTCCTTTCTCTCACCTAAGCGCTTCCACTGACATGTCCACCTCCAGGGTTGGACCTGCCACAGTCCTGCGTGGCATTCACACAGTCTCTTTTATTTTGAGGATGCAGGGCAGGGACGTGAAGAAGAACTCTCCTGGCTTGGACAGTATTACTCATAAGATTGGATATTTGCGGTACAGGTTGAGCTGCACCAACCTGAGGCCCAAGGAAGGGGTAGAAGTGCTCGTATGAATTTGAACAAATAGATTTGTGTATGAGTATTTGTTATAAGCTGGGGCCTCTGTGGCATGAGTTCCAAGGAAGCGCCCCCTCCATACCTTACTTCAGCCTAAGGGCAATATTGCTTCTTTATCTCCATCTTTGGACCCCACATTGTCTCTGGATATTTGTTGTGTAATAGCAAAGACTTGCTCATTTTACACAACTAGTGAGTGGCAGAGCTGAAACTGGATTCTAGAGCTTTCAGCTTTTAGGACAACACTCTCCCCATTTATGGTCTAGTGGTATGTGGACTTTGATTTTGGCCTGTGGAAGCAAGCTTCTCAAGGGCAGGCCTGTGCACTACGCATCTTTGTGTCCAATCCCTCTGTTAGACAGTAGTTGCTTCTAAATGTGTGTGGCATTGTACTCACAAAGTTCCCCGTTTCATAGCTATAAGCTCAAGCCAGACTCTTCTTTCAAATGATGTTGGTGCTGTATTTGGTAACCCAAGATAAGAAAAAAGGAAAACAAGACAAAACAAAACAACAACCTCTGTGTACCAAGGATGGTCACTGAAGCACTATTTTTGTAGCCTAAGTTTCAGCCTTTGAATGTCATCGAGTCGTTTAACTTTCTGGGGTCTCTCTTCCCTTAATATATGTTCACGGAAAGCCTGAGCTGCTGTCCTATCTCCACAGTGAACCCCCATAACTCCCCCGCTTAACGGGATGACTGCTGTGACATGGAGGTGGCTTCTAAGAGACAGTGTAATCTTTTTTTGGGGTATATTGCCCAGCAGCCTCTGTATGGTCAGCTGAAGTATTCTCAATTCTGGGATCCTTCTTAGTTATGTAGATTAGGCAAGTGGACACTCCTTTCCTTGGAAAAAGGGTATAGTTGGATATAACCAGGGTGCCCCTCTCCTTGGTGCAGAAGGGTGGAGAGGGAGTGGACCAAATTGCATAAGAAGTCCAAGGGATGTGAGGAACTGATATTCCAACCCTCTCTCCTAAATAATCAGAAAATTGTTTTTCTAACTAAAAAGTTAGAACATTGATTTGGGCACAGTTGGGCCCTGACTGAGGTCTGTTGGCAGGAAGAGCACCCAGGGCCCTCTGCAGGTTTGTCTCCCTTTGTCCCTCCAGATCTGTTCTCCATCCTTCCCTGTGCTGCTCTTCGTGCCCCTGGAGGCTGACCTCATTGGACAACATCACCCAGGCTCATGCTCTCTGGCTGCTGGTTAGGACTGGCCAGTGGAAGTGCAGGCAGAAGTTGGAATATAGAGGGAGAAAGCAGCAGGGAGCATTATTCTCCTTACTCTTTCCCTGCTGAGCCATGGTTTGGGCAGTGGCTGTGTCCCACTGTGTCCTACTGCTCCTGTGGGAAACATAACCACAGCCTTTGCTAGATTCTGGTGCCACTGTTTTCTCCCCAAGCAAGGGGCAGTAATGGCTTCTTATCGTTGTTAACCCTGGATTAATCACCAACCCTTACCGATTCTCTTTACCTTACCTGTCCCTCTGAAAATTGGCCCAAATTAAACCCTCTTCACTGAACCTTTTGAATTTGCCACTTAAATCCTGATGAATAAAGCCATTGGTATTAAGGGTGACAATTGGACCCATGGAGTGAGGGCTATTATGGTAGAAGTGGCCCCATGGAAGCGCTTGGAACCGCCTCTTTGTGCCCAAAATAGTAAACCAAAAGCAATACTGCATCTTCAGGGCAATTGAATTGTGCCCCCATCAAAGGCTTGAGAGATGCAGGACAGGTGGTTCTAATCATATCACTATTTAAGTCACCTGTCTGGCTTATGCAAAAACCAGGTGGATCCTAGAGAATGACTACAGATTTTCATAAACACAAATCAGGAATTGATGCCATTTCAGAAGTTGTTCTGGATGCGGTATCTTTATTAGAGAAGATCCACTTAGCCCCTGGCACCTGGTATGCACCTAGTATTGTGCCTGGTGACTAGAACAGTAATTCGCAAAGGGAGGTCCCTGGATTAGCAGCTTCAGTGTCACCTTGGAACATGTCTGATGTACAATTTATAGAACTCCACTGAAGACCACCTGAATTAAAAATTTTAGGGGCTCACCAGCTGTGTTAGAACAAGCTGTCCAGGTGATTCCAATGCATACCGAAGTTTGAGAACTGTGGTATTAGAAATAGTTTCCACTGCATCACAATCAATACAGACAATCAGAAGGAGTTCATCTTCACCTGTTAGAAGACTGTGGCACACCGTAAATGCATTACCTCAGGGATCTACCAATTCTCCTGGTCTCTGTCATATTATATGAGACCCTTATCATCTTGACAGCCCATAGAACTTTATGATTGTCTGCTACATTGATAACATTATGCTAATAGGATCTGGTGAATGAGGACTAGCGAGTGCCATACTGCCACATGCTTGCCAGAGAGGGGAAGAAAACACATGTGGAGGTTCAGTGGCCTCCCACATTGGTGAAATTTCTTGGGTTCTAGCAGTCTGAGGCCTGTTGGAATATCCCCACTAAGATGAGAAACATGTTGCTTCACCTTGTGTCTTCCACCATAAAGAAAGAAGCTCGGCAGTTGGTGGATCTCTGGATTTTTGAGGCAATGTATAGAACATTTGTGTGTGTGTGTCTCATGGATTTACTGGTTACATCATAAGACCACTGGTTTTGAATGGGGCCCAGAATAATAAAGGACTCTAGAAAAGATATATCCAGACTGTGATGAAAGCTACTCTGCCATTTGGTCCTTAAGATCAGCAGATCCAATAGTGCCAGAAGTGTCTTGCAAATGGGGGTGCTTTGTGGAATTCCTAACCATCTCCAATAGGAGAATCACAGCATTAACCCAACTGAACAGGATGGGAAGAGAGAGTCCAAGGCAGTCTTCGGGAGATATGTGTGAAAAGACATCTTTGAAGGGGCCCTGGGTGTCAAGATATTCAAGGGCCATTTAAATGCCTACTGGAGGGCATCCACTGCAGAAAAGACTCTCAACGATCAGGTGGATAAGATGACTCAACTTGGGGGTGTCAGCCTCTTCCTCTGTCTACTCTGGTGTTTGCTCAATGACATCATGAACAAAGTGACTGCAGTGGAAGGGACAGAGGCTATCAACACTATGGGCTTTCCCTTGCTAAAGTCCATTGGTTTCCATAACTTCTGGATATGTAGGCTTCCAATGAATGAGACCAATGCCAAGGCCCTGATATGGCACCACTCCCAGGGATGGGTGGTGGGAGATAGACCAAACACTTACTTGGTAGAAGGTTAATTAAACTGAGTCCCTTTCATCATGGAGGGCAGTAGGAATAGACATATATTCCAGATATGGATTTGCCATCCCTGTCCCTCCCCGCCATTTGTGGTGTTTCATTCTGTTCATTTTGTGCTGCTAAAACAGAATAACACAAACTGGGTAATTTATAATGAATAGAAATTTATTTGGCTCACGATTATGGAGGCTGCAAAATCCAAGATCAAGGAACCAGCATTTGGTGAGGATCTTGTTGCATCATAAACATGGTGGAATGAATCACATGGGCAAGAGAGAAAAGGGGACGAAACACCCCCTTTCAAAACAAGCCCACTCTCAAGATAACAGCATTAATCCATTCATTCCACCCTCGTGGCCTAATCACCTCTCATTGGGCCCCACCTCTCAACACTGTTGCATTGGGAATCAAGTTTCCAACATATGAACTTTGGGGGACACATTCAAACCACAGCATATTCATCTCAGTATATCCCACAAACGTGGCCTTTAAACAAGAAACCTTAGGTTTTGTGGGTTTGGAAATCTCTAGTGACCAAGAGGAACTGCTTCCACCAGGGAGTATAGTTATGGATCTGTTAAATTGGAAGATGATCTTGTGCCATCTGGGGCTCCTTATGTTGAAACATTGGCAGAGAAAGAGATCACTGCACTGTCAGGATGGTTCACCCCAATATCCAAGGGAAAGTAGGGTTTCTGCTACACAATAGGGGCAAGGAGTACTAGCTTTGGAACCCTGGGATTCACTAGGGCACTTGGTACTCCCTGTATCCCTTGTCCTCATTCTGTAAGCCTGAGGTGGGGGCACGAAATTAGATTTCTAACAGGCTCCCCAGAGATGCCAATGCTGTCCATCCTTGGACCATAGTAGTTGTTGCCCTAGAGCACCTGTTATTCTTTCTGAGAATTTTACAGTGCTTCCAGGTGAGATCTTCAAGGCCTCTTCATGTTCTTTAGGAATCTGTGGATACTGTGGCAACTCAATGAAGACAGGGCACCAAGAATTTGAATCCTCTGTGGATGAAGATTTGGGTCATTCCACCAAATAAAATTTTCCAACAGCTAAGGGACTGCCAGAAGGTAGAGGGGCTATGGAATGGGTGGTGGGAGAACAAGACTACAGTTACCACTCTGGGCCCCATGATCAGTCACAGAAGGGGGCACTAGAAGTTGTGCTTTACAGGAAGTGTTCCACTTACCCAGGAGTGGCTACATTATGATTTAAGTTGCAGGTGGGAATGGGACTAAATTGCTATCAGCCCCAGACAATATGGTGACTGGTGAGATTTTATGTTTCCCCTGTGCTGGGGACAAAATATTTTTCTCCCATCTAAGCAACGTTTGTGAATGGCTGCTAAGTGGTAATAGGATGAATTGTGCTGGGTTTTCTACTTTTGCTCCAGTGTGCTGCCTATGTGGACCGTATCACTCAGGGTCCCCTGACCTTTAGCTTCTGTTGTTTTTGGCCAATGGAAGACCCAGACAGGAGATTGGAGGGCAGGAGGCAAGAGGTCAAGGTATTTATTCCCCTGGCTCTCTTCCTACTGAGCTGCAGTGGGTGCAGGAGTTTTGATCCTCTAGCTGTGACCAGGGCTTCCATCGGGTGACTCCTTCTCCATGGCTGTAGCTCTCCCTGGGTTCTAGATCCTCCTCCTTGTCTCTCTAGGCTGAGATGGTAATAGTTTGTGGCCTGCCTGTCCCTGGGTAGTTTGTTTTCCTCTCTCTGTCACCCAGGCTGGAGTGCAGTAGTGTGATCCTAGCTCACTGTAACCTCAAACTTCTGGACTCGAGTGATCCTCCCACCTCAGACTCCTGAGTAGCTGGCACTATAGGTGTGCAACACCACACCCAGCTAATTTTTTAAAAAACATTTTATTTTTTGTAGATAAACAGGTTCTTGCTTATGTTGGCCAGGCTGGTTTCAAACTCCTGGGCTCAAGCAGTCTGCCGGCCTTGGCCTCCCAAAGTGCTGGGATTACAGACATGAGCTTCCTTGCCCGGCCATCCCTGGGTGTTTTACTCTTCCCTGTTGCTTTCCATACCCTTGCCCAAACTCTGTAAATATTCTTTCATTAAACTATCTTCAGTCAGCGCTTCGTGCGTGCCATCTCTTTCCTGCCAAGACACTGAAAGCTCCCAAGGAGAACCCTCCTAAAGGGAGAGAGTCTTTGCTGATGACCATCAAGCTCATAAGTAAGGGCTGGTGTGGCTGAGGCTGTGTGTCCCTCTGGATACGGGCAACCTGTCTTTGTGCTATGATTGGACAGAATAGCTGGGAACGTGGATGTGGACCCAGATAACTCTGTGTGAGCACCTCTCCACAGGCGGGGCCACAGGACATTGCGGGTGGTCATTGATCATGCATGGCAGAACCAGTCCTCAACAACAAGACCTAGTGGTATGAAACCACACTAGTGCACACACCAAGCTTTGCAGTTCTCCTCACTTGGTGTTTGAAAGCAGGACCGGCCCCTTTTGGATTGATTTAGCCTCTGAAGTTCTGGAAATTTAATGAGACAGGGAGACACTGGTTTTCAATTCAATAAGAACATGTAGACATTTGAGCAACTAATTAGAAAAAAACGAAATATCTATGATGGGAATGATATGCCAGGATGGTAAAGCTAGGGTCCTACTATATGTATCCAACTCTCTGAGCATCCTTAGGGGCTGCGTTTCTTCTAGTGATCATCACTCTGAACTCTTGGTTCTGCATATTTCTGCTACCCCACTTGTCTGTGGGACTGCTGGCCCCTTCCAGATCGTATTTCCCTACATGACCCACCACCGAGGTGTCTTCATTGTCCCAAAGACCACTGCTGCAGAGTGGATCGTTTATCAGACTTCAGAGAGGGCTTGGGGCGACATGAAGGGAGTGTAGCTGAGCACAGCACAAGCCACAACTTAAAACTGGCCTCTAGGCATCACTGCCTGGAAAACCCACCACCCATTCTCTGCTTTGGAGAGTTCTCCAGTCTGTGTTCTCCTTAAGTCCTGGGTTATGGCCAACTTCACAGGCCTCCCATTCTCTTAATACTTTTCATTTCTTCTCTGCCAACTTCTAGCCTTGAAGACTTCTGTTCATTCCTTTTGCTGATCAGTTTATCTTTCTATCCACAACCCCAAAGTTCATCTCAGCTTGCCAGAAACGAGTTGAGATGCTCTGGTCACAAAGGACCATCTCCTCTGTGCTTCAGCACCATAATGCAACTACTGAAGCCTGAGATTCCAGTTGCTTTTTTCTCCTTAATATGATCCAGTTCTTAGAGAGGTCTCCCTCCCCGCTGTGCTCCATGTGTCTCTTAGATGGAGGGAGTGTATAGTAAATATTTATTCTTCCCTGTCCTAAGCAAGCACCCTGCCTTCATCATATGTATTTTTAACCTTTCTTTTTTCCTTGGAATGTGTATAATAGGGAAAATGGAAGAAATCCAAGTATTTAATAATAGGAAGCTACATAATTATATATGTGTACTAGATGTCATGTTTTATGGCCATTAAAATGACAAGTGTGAAGAATGTAGTAGCAACACGAAAGTATACTTACGATGTAATATTAGGAGAAAGAGTATGATATAAAATTATATAGCAGATCATCTTTATGAAAAAAAATCTTGCATGAGGACAATGATTAGAAGGCAATATATGGACACAAATTAAAATTGCTGTTTTTTGGAGGCTTGGGTTGGGAGTGCTTTTTATATTTTCCACCCTTCCTGAAATGTTACTATTTCCCGTTGCCATCAAACAAGAGTCAAGAGATAAGGTGAAACCCATTAGCGAATCTGAGTGTGGAAAAGAATTAATTAGGACCAAGGGATTCTCAGGCAGTGCTTCCTCAACTTTAAGGTGCATAGAAACCATCTAGGGAATCTTGCTAATGTACATTCTGTACATTGGTCTGGAGGGGGCTGTGAGTTTGGGTTTCTAACGAGCTCCTCAAGTATTGCAGAGGCTGTTTGTCCTTCAACCACAGGTTAAGTTGCACTGCCCTGGAGCACCCTCTTTTTCACCCGAGGGTTCTAAAGTGTGTCCAGGGGCGGTCTGGAAGACCTTTTCTTGTTCCTGGAGTCTGTTATTAGCTTACTGGGAGTTGGTTCTAGTTTACATTGTAAATGCATACTGATGAGATTTTTAACAGAAGTGCCTGGCATCTCAAGGTAGGCTTCAGAGTGAGGGCTGCTGCTGCTGAACCTGAGGCAATGCACACGAGTCTTGCTTTAGATCCTCCTCATTATACAGGGCCTTCCCTGCCTCTTGGTTCACTGCCATTGCCAGCTGTCCCTTTGTGCATCCCACAATAGTGGGGATAGGGGTGGGTAGGAGAGGGGTAGGAGAGGGATGACAACTGGATATCCCCTGAAATGCTGCCTGAACAGCTGTGGCCTTGTCCGCATTCAGGGGTCACCTAGTAGTGATAGTGCTTTGGAAACCCATTTTCCAGGTGGCCTGGGCTGTGGTGGGGACTAATGGCTGGGAGGCAGACAATGAGAAGTCTTGAACTTCTTCACAGCTGCAGGTCTCTTGGATGGGGATGGAAGGCCACACTTTGGAGGGACAGAATAAATGCACTCAGAGGAAGGGGAGCTCAGGTGCTCTTGTTTAACTTCATATCATGTTACGGGAAAACTGATGACACTGGCAATTACGTAAATTGGAAGACACCACACCCCTTGAGGTCAGGTGCTAGGGAAGGCTGCTGTGACTATTCCTCTGACCAAGTGGTTCTGGCTGGGAGATTTGGCCTGTAGGAAGTAGCCCTCGGAAGTTGAGGAAAGCTGAGGGTTCCAGGCTCTGTAGGGGCAGGGGGCACTCCTCCCAGCTCAGACCCCTGGCTTCTCCTGGGGTGGTGAACTCAAGAGCATTCATGTTTGCCCATGTTCTCTCATTTCATCCTCACAACAACCTTGTGAGGTAGATGTTATTCCCTCACTTTACAGATGAGGAAATTGGGGCTCAGAGAGGCTAAGTGAGTTATCTGGGGTGCTATAACAAGGAAGTAGAGGAATTGGGACCTGGGACCAGTTTTGTAGGCTCTGCTCTAATAATTTTGCTGCAAGGTCATGGATGTAGGTGATGGAGTGGGAGTGGGGTCGAGGGCAGAAGGAGGTGGGAGGAGGGAGGGCCCGAGAAGAGTCATCATCAATAACTTCTTCCTTGCCCCCCAACTCTGACTATAGCAAATTTATAGCACATTCACTCTCCTTTCTGTCCTTTTGTTCACGAGGTATATGCAAAAAATAAACATTTTAAAATGACAAGGCTTTTCCTATCTTACAATGAGGAAACTGAGGCACTGGGAGGTGAAGTGACTTGCTCAAGGTCACATTGTAACCTGACTGATAAATGTGGGACTAGAACACAGATCTCCCCATTCAATATTTATCTCATGGACTGTGCACCCTCAGAAAGGTTACTGGGTGAAATAATTTTTGTGTGAGGAAAAATTACTGAAAAAAATTAAATGTACAACCAAAGGAGATGATTTTTTAACCATGACCTACCCAACTGATGGTTAGTGACTGAAGTGACCCTTCAGTCACTGAAACTGGCAGCTAAGAAGAGTGTTTGATGTCGTGGGGAATATTCATGCTACCATATGAAGTGATACAACACCATGCATGGAGTATGAATTTGACTAAAAAATACAAGTAAAAAGGCTGGAAGAAAATATATCAAAATGGTGGTTTCTGGGAGGTGGAATTATTAAGTGTTATTTCCCTCCCTTTCTTTCTATTTATCTGCATTTTCCCAAGTTTCTAAAATGTACATTTTATTTATAACAGGAAAAATATATCCCTCTATATTTTAGTTTAAAAAAAATACTGCTTGGAAGCAGCCCATATCCTGTGCCCTTCATGAATTTTCAGGTGAGACTCCCTCAACCTGCTTTCGCCCCTCACTGCCACACCATTGCTGGTCCGTGGGGAGGGGGCTGGGGTTCAGGTGGGACCTCTTGGTTGGAAGCCTTCATGTGCTACTTTGTATTTTAAGTATAGAGAGTCTCCTCAAGGCAAGACCACTGTTGTGTGATGGCTGGGGGGTGTCTGTTGCTGGATCCAATTCCAAAAGGTGCCCAGGAGCCTGGGAAGGTGACTACCCCATCATCTCACAGTGACTCCCCACACTGGAACCCCAGCCTCCTGGGTCCTGGTCCAGGGCTCTTTTCCCCTGGCTGCTCCATGGTTGTGACACCCATGGCACCTGGGCATTCCACGCTGGTGCTCGAGGGAGGGCTGACAGGGCTAAGTTGCACTTTCTCCTTCCCTGGGTGACCAGATTCATTCCTTGCCTCTGTGGGATGGCAGGCTGGCAGGGGACACATGGGTGCATCCTGGGGCACAGCCACCCGCAGATTGCCAGGTCCAGTCTCCACCGCCGCTGTGCCTCAGTCGTCCAGGTGCTGCTCCTCCCAGGTGGATGTGGGGATGGCGCTGTAAGGGTCCATGATGACCTTGGCACAGCGGATGATCATCACGACAAGGAAGAGGCAGAGGAAGACGAAGCAGGCCAAGGTCAGCCCTTTGTCCACGTCGACATAGACGGGCTCGGGCGTGGGCTCCTCCATCTCGTGGCAGCGACTGCAGGCTGCTCCTCCTCTGCCTCGGGCTTGACTGGTACCATTTTCCACCCCTGCAGAGACAGCCACAGCAGTGGGAAAGGAGGGGTGTGGTCACACGCCTGGGGTGACTGCAGGGCACCAACCTCTGCTCCCTCTTCTCTGCTACCCCTGCACCGAGAGCTTGCTGCTCAGACCACCCTGCAGGAGGGTAGGAGGGGATGGGTACACATGGACCCACATGGTCCCAGCCCGAAACCTTGTAGGTGACCAGAGGCTCTAGCAGGGTGCAGCTAGTGCCTCCCCAGGCTGGGGCAGGGGAGGTGACAGATGAGTCCCAGCAGGTGTGGGACTAGGGTGGAGCTAAGGGCTGGGTGGGGATAGAGGCCCTGCAGCTGCCTCCACTCCATGAAACCCTTTAGAAAGGCAGTTAGGATAATGCTTTCCATTTAGACAAACCACTATCTGAGGGTAATCTGAAAGCATTTCAAAAATTAAGTAATTATGATATAGATGCATATATTTTAGAGACAGGGTCTCCGTGGCTCAGGCTGGAGTGCGGTGCAGTGGCACAATCATAGCGCACTGCAGCCTCCAACTCCTGCCTCAAGCAATCCTCTTGCCTTGGACTCCCAAAGCATTAGGATTACAGGTGTGAGCCACTGTGTCTGGTCTATTATGTTTTTTAAAGCATAAGAACCTAGATTTCAAATGAAACCTATTGTGGAAAACCACAGAGGAACAGACCGACGAGGGACTGCTGTCGTGGAAGAGAGTGAGAGGCCTGGAGGGTCTATATCCCCTTCCCTGCTGCAGGTCCTCACAGGGACTCTCTAGAGACTCCTGCTGAGGCCAGCACATGGCCTGAAAACTGTGTGATGGGAAGAACAGTTTTGGCAGTCACATGGAAGGGTCCCAGCTCTGCCACCGCCTTGCAGTGCAGGTCTGGACAGCTCTCAATTATTGTTAGGACTCCAGCAGTAGTCCCTACACTGACACATCACTCATTCATCTCGGGATGATTTGCCAACTTCTCTGGGTCCTAATTTTCTGCATGCTGAGGACAGGTGGCCATACCTGCTTCACAGGGGCGTGACAACCAAATGCACGGTCCCTGGCTCCAGTGGATGGTCAGTACATACTTTGGGTGAACTGGCAGCTCGAGGAGCTGGCTAGGAGGGGGCAGGCAGCTCCCCAAGTTCAGCTGCCACGGACAGCTTTAGGAGGAGGGCTGGCTGCTGCTCCCTGTCCCCGCACATAGCATTCGTCCCCATCCTTATCCCTGAACTTGTGGAGTGCTTGGGCTGTACGCTGTGCTTCATGTTCTGTTTGTTATTTAAAGCTCATGACACCCCTGGAAGCAAGTTACCCAGGCATCAATAGGCCCATTTTATAAATGTGGAAACTGAGGAACTGAGCAGGAAAATGACATATTCAAGGTCCCTCATCCCACACCCTAGGTCCCTACATGTCTCTGCCTCCTCTAGTGGGGCTCCATCTTCCCCACCCACTCTGGAGCTTTAGGAAGATAGCTGTCTGTGCAAGCTTAGAGTCCGCTGGCTGGGGAAGAGCTGTAACCACAGTCAACCATGACTTCCCCTCTCTTAGACCTTGTCTCAGCCCTCACCACTCTTACAGGACACTGACCTGCTGACTGGAGTGGTCACCACTTCATAAGGACCCTGGCTTTTCCAGGAGGCACAGGGAGTGGTCAGGCATCATGGGGGTCGCCCATGGAGAGCAGTGGCTGTTCACGGAGAGCAGGAGCTGTGCTGGCTGGTGGGGGCGCTGGAGTGTAACTGTAAGAGAAAGGGACAAAGAAGACTAGTTATTTCCTGAGATGCCCAGCCCTAGATATAATGTGGACTCCCCTGGGTAGCTCCTTCCTGGCACGGGGGTGGGATCTGCCACACACTGTTGTTTGATGCTGATTTCTTCTCTCTTTTTAAAATATAACAACTTTCACGCCTGTAATCCCAGCACTTTGGGAGGCTGAGGTGGGAAGATTGCTTGAGCCCAGGAGTTTGAGACCAGCATGACAAAATCCTGTCTCTACAAAAAGTACAAAAAAATTTAGCCGGGCGTGGTGGTGCACGCCTGTAATCCCAGCTACTCAGGAGGCTGAGGCAAGAGAATCACTTGACCCTGGGAGGCGGAGGTTGCACCGCTGCACTCCAGCCTGGGCAACAGAACAAGACTGTGTCTCCAAAAAAAAAAAAAAAAAAAAAAATGTTTATACACACACACACATAAACTTTAAAAAGTGTGGCCACATACACATAACATAAAATCTACTGTCTTGACCATTTTCAAGTGTGCAGCGGCATTTTTGTGTACTGTTCAGTGGTATTAAGTACATTCACACTGTGGTGCAGCTGTTGCTGCCATCCATCTCCAGAACTCTTCATCTTGCAAAACAAACTGTGCACTCATTAGACCATAACTCCCCATTTCCCTTCCCCCAGCCCCGGGCAGCCACCATTCTACTTTATGTCTATATGAATTTGACTGCTCTACCTACTTCATGTAAGTGGAATTGTACGTATTTATCTTTTTGTGACTGGCTTATTTCATTGTGCATAATGTTCTCCAGATTCATTCATATTGTAGCATGTCAGAATTTCCTTTTTTTAAAGGTCTGAATAATATTCCATTGTATATATGTTTATACCACATTTTGTTTATCCATTTTTTCATCAATGGACACTCGGGATGTTTTCACCTTTTGACTGTGTAAATAGTGTTGTTATGAATGTGGGTGTACAAATCTCTCTTTGAGACTCTGCTTTCAATGCTTTGGGGTGTATAAGCAGAGGTGGCATTGCTGGATCATATGGTAATTATATTTTTAACTTTTTTGAGGATTAAATTGAACATTTTGCATAATTAATTGTTGTACACTATTCAAAACTCAAAAAGCACAAAAAGAAAACAGTAAAACCAGTGTTTTCACTACCCCTATCCCCAGCCATCTAGCTCATCTCCAGATAGGCAACTATTGTTATTAGGTCTTTATACATCCTTCTAATCTGGAGATATTTTATTCTTATAAAAGAAAATATGTATGTTTGTTTTTCAAATAAATGAAAGCCTGTTATATAAACTGTTCCACATCTTACTTTTAAAGTTTAACATATCGTGGAGATTATTTAACGTCAACACATAGAAGGTTGCCTCTTTCTTTTTAATGGCTGTATTGTATTTTGTTGTATGGATATCCCATAATAAATTCAACCATAGTCTTCTATCAGTTAGATAGGATTTCCAATCTTTCGTTTTTCACATATTGATGGAGCAAATGTCCTTGTAGCTATGCATTTTGCACATGTCTGAGTATGTCTGTAATTAAATTCCTTCAGGCGAAACTGCTGTGTCTAAGGATAAAGTCATTTTAATTCTGATCGATATTATTATTCTTGGAGGTTGTACCTATGTAAGCTTCCATTGGCAAAGGTTGTGAGGGACGGTTGTCCTACAGCTGAAACCAGCCCAATTGTCCCATAGAACTGATATTTCTGGGTTTTTTGAATAAACATAGAAACTGACCCTCCGAGTCTTAAAATTTGAAACTTACATTTCTCTCATCTGAGTTTTTTCCTTAGGAAACTGTCAGGCAAGGGACTGAAATGCACCAGATCCCGGCATCTAGACAATGAGACACCAGACCCCTCGTTCGTCTTCCTTACTCTTCCTTACCTTCCTAGTCCAACTTTTTTTTCCACATTCTTTCCTCATTCTATAAACCCCCAATTTTAGTCAGTTGAGGAGATGGATTTGAGACTTATTTCCCATTCTCCCAGTTGACATCATGAGAATAAAAAGCCTTCTGCCCTGGAAATACTCGTCGTTTCAGTTACTGGCTTTCTGTACGGTGAGCAACAGGATCCAGACCAAACCCCTGGTGTTTCAGTAGCAGAATCTTGAAAACAGAGTTATCTTTTATTTTCGCCAATTTGAAAGAAAATTTGAAAGATGTTATAACATCTTATAACAAACATTTTCAAACACACGGAGAAGTTGAAAGAATTATACAGTAAACAAATATATATCTACCACCTAGATTCTGTTTCGCCGCATTTTAAAAATTTTGTCCTATTTACCCACCTATCCATCCTTTTTACTTTTTGAACGCATTTCAAAGATGCAAGCATTAATACACTTCACTTCAAAGCACTCCAGCGTGTGTATCATTAACTAGAATTCAGTATTTGTTTATAGATTTCTTAAAATGTAAAATTTACATGTAGTGAAATGTACACATATTAAATGCATCATTTTTGAGATTTTACAGATGTATACATCCTGTAGCTCAGAGTAATTTTTATCTATCTTAGAGAAATTAAGCATCTTTGCATGTGTTTAAGATCCAGTTGTCCTTCCTCTTTTTGTGAATTCTCTGTTAATATCCTTTACCTATTTTTCTGTTGGGTTTTTGGTATCTCTCCTTTTTGGCCTTGGAAGCAGAGTTGAAATAAACATACTCATTTTATTAATTTTTATTTTATTACCGTTTTTTCCTTTATCCCTGATTCCTACTCCTATTTCTTACTTTCTTTCACTACCTAATTTTAGTCACTAGTATTAGCTAATTGTTTACCTTTGTTCTTTTACATGTGCGTCAGTTTCTGTAATTTGAATTGTCAACTTTAAATGTATGCATTTTTATTCCCAGCTGCAAGGTATTAGGAAATTAGGGAGTTTATTCCAGTTTTCACCTCCTTTTCCCATTCTCTTTCCATTGACAGTTACGTCCATTATTTCTACACGGTTAGGGTATGTAACATTTATATGTTTTTGCCCTTAAGTCTACCTTAGTTTTCATTCTGTTTTACAGTGACATCTATTTAAGGCTTCCCACCAGTCATTGTGTCTGTAATTGGTGGGTTCTTGGTTTCACTGACTTCAAGAATGAAGCCACGGACCCTAGTGGTGAGTCTTACAGTTCTTACAGATGGTGGGTCTGGAGTTTGTTCCTTCTCATGTTCAGACGTGTTTGGAGTTTGTTCCTTCTGGTAGGTTTGTGGTCTCGCTGGCTTCAGGAGTGAAGCTGCAGACCTTCGTATGTAAGGGCAGCGCTTCTGGAGTTATTGGGTCCTCCTGGTGGGATCAAGGTCTTACTGGCCTCAGAAGTGAAGCTGCAGTGAGTGTTACACCTCATAAGGTGGCATAGACCCAAACAGTGAACAGCAACAAGAGCTACTGCAAAGAGCAAAAGAACAAAGACTCCATACCATTGAAGAGACCCCCAGCCACTTGCTCCGGCAGCCTGCTTTTATTCCTTTATCTGGCCCCACTGACATCCTGCTGATGGGTCCATTTTACAGAGAGTTGATTGGACCATTTTGATAGAGTGCTGATTGGTGCCTTTATAATCCTTTAGCTAGACACAGAGTGCTAGACAGTAAAGTTCTCCAAGTCCCCACTAGGTTAGCTAGATACAGAGTAGTGATTGGTGTATTTACAAACCCTGAGCTAGACACAGAGTGCTGATTGGTGCATTTACAATCCTTTAGCTAGACACAGAGCGCTAGCCAGAAAAGTTTTCCAAGTCCCGACTAGGTTAGCTAGATACAGAGTAGTGATTGGTGTATTTACAAACCCTGAGCTAGACACAGGGTGCTGATTGGTGTATTTACAATCCCCTTAGCTAGACATAAAGGTTCTCCAAGTCCCCACTAGACTCAGGAGCTCAGCTGGCTTCACCTTGTGGATCCTGCACCCGGGCTGCAGGTGGAGCTGCTCGCCAGTCCTGCAGGTGCACCTGCACTTTTCAGCCCTTGGGTGGGCCATGGGACCGGGTGCTGTGGCGCAGGGGGTGGAGCTCATCGGGGAGCCTCAGGCCGCCAGGAGCCCACAGTGCAGTGGGGCTAGGCTCGGGCATGGTGGGCTGCCGGTCCCCAGCCCTGCCCCATGGGGAGGCAGCTGAGGCCTGGCAAGAATTCCAGCACAAGGCTGCCGAGCCAGCACAGCTGGGGGACCCAGCGCACCCTCTGCAGCTTCTGGCCCGGGTGCTAAGCCCCTCACTGCCCGGGCCCCGGCCTGCCACTCCCTGTGTGGGGCTGCTGAGCCCACACCCACCCAGAACTCGCGCTGGCCAGCGAGGGCCACATGCAGCCCCAGTTCCCGCCTGCGTCTCTCCCTTCACACCTCCCCGCAAGCAGAGGGAGCCGGCTCCTGCCTCGGCCAGCCCTGAGAGTGGCTCCCACAGTGCCCTGGCGGGCTGAAGGGCTCCTCAAGAGCAGCCAGAGTGGACGGCGAGGCCGAGGAGGTGCCGAGAGCGAGGGCTGGTAGCATGTTGTCACCTTTCACTTTGGCTAAAGTTTTTCTATCATCTCTTGTTTGGCTGTAGATTGTTGTCTAGCATGTCCTTCAGGAAGAGGTCATGTGAATTATATTCCCCAAGCTCCTGTCTCCTTTGAAGGGAATGTACATTTTTCTCAGCCTGCTTTAAAGATTTTCTCCTTGTCTTTGGTTTTCAGCAGTTTTGCTGTGAATGTGCCTATGTGTGGTTTTCTCTGTATTTTCTTAGTGTTTGTACTACTTCTTGAATGTTACTTGATGTCAGCTTCTGAAAATTTTGGGCTCTTTCCCCTTTAAATATTCATTTGTTCCCTTTTTTCTCTCTTCCCTTTCTGGTGCTCCAGGTACACTTAGACCTTTTCACTGTGTCACAATTTTGTTATGCTTTCTTCCTGTTTTTTTTTTTTTTTTTTTTTTTTTAAATGCTGTAGTCTGAATATTTTCTATGGACTAACTTCAAGTTCATTAATCTTGTCTTTATGTCCCATCAGCTGTTAAA